TACATGTTCAGGTAGTAAGCTCTGTGGTTTGCTTGCATTCAAGGCGAGCGCGTGACTGGGCGGAGCTTTTTTTTTGTGGGGTTTCTGCTAGTTCTGCGAAGCTGTATAGACGTGGTGTATATGGTGCTCTCGTTGTGGCGCGTTTGTGTACGCCTCTAATGGCAATTTTAAAAATGCATCTTTATACACATTGTTCATTCTTCCATTTTTTTTTTTCAACATGACAGCTTGCCAGAGAGGAGAATTCACCGGGAGTTTAATCCCATAACTATCTGCAAGCCAAGCATATTTTTTCAACTATTTTTCATCGGTCACTTTTTGGATAACTGCAAATGATGGACTGTGTTTCTAAATATAACGTTCCTGATCTGAAAAAAAAATCAGCAGTGATTGATTGATCAGTAGAGATTTATAATGTATCAAAGCTGTAATTGTTTGATCACTGGGTATTAAACTGCTGTTAATGATGGCAATTCCCAAACTCTGAAACTCAGGATGCTGATTGTGGCAAGGAGAATTTGCAGATCAGGATTGTTTGTTAAGGTCTGCAAATGACGGGGCATTTTTTTCCTTTCCATCATCAGCGGGTTGATGTAGAGTTGACCCCCAATATCATGCGATTATTCCATTGACCGTACTTGGTAACCGTTGCCCTCAACAAACAACTTGTGGGCACACTGTTCTCACAGCTCTGGTTTTTTGTGCTAGCAGAACTTGAAACAGTGTGTGTTACATTGGCTCTGCGATATGTGGTTAAAGAGCAACCCCAACGGTGGAAGAAAATAAGAAAAAATCTGGCAGTAGTATGTTTACTTGGATTCCAATAAAGATATGTATGCCACATAAACCCAGATTCAACAATATTTTTGGTTTAATAAAAATCACTTTTGAGACCCGTTTCTGCCGAGTGGTATGGCTAGCTTTTGTGAAAGGAACGTGTTTTCATCGCTCATTTACATCTCATGTATATGGCTTTTCCCGATTTTGTTGACTTAGCACCGTGGAAATGGTTCTCCGGCTGGTGCATGTATGCACTGAGCAGGCGTGGTCATGGCAATGCACATAATTACACGTAGCATAGTAACATCGGTGTTGTCACAGTTATACACTGTCCCAAGCACGAGGCACGGAGCCTTACCGTTTTGAACCTATCGTGCCACTGGGATGCCAAGGGGATGCCGATCAGGCCGACTATGGGGCCACCGCTTGTGAAAGAGGTAGTGAGGAGACCAAGATCATTTGATAAATAAAGCTTGGTAAGTTCATAGTGAAGGACCGATGTTTTCAATTTTTTTTTTTTTTTGGTTATTTTTTTTCTGAAAAAGTGTCAGGCTAGGCTGGCAGCTCGGGCGTGCAGGTCTTTGTACGAAAACATATCCAAGAAACCAGGTCCTGCGAGGTCATGACGTTTTATGTTTCCACGGTAGTTCGTAATCAAAAAAGCATTTCTGCGTGGCGCCACCCATGGTATAAATGTGGAGAGTTTAGGAAAAACCCGCAGAATTGGTCCATATGTTTATTGCATTATTACTTTTTATTATAATTCATAGTGCCACTTTACCAGTACATATATAACTTATTACTTAGATATTACATGAGTATATTAAACTGTCTTCCCCATTTTTTCATCACCATTGGGGTTGCTCCTTAAAGCGTTAGGCCGTGCTTGACAAAAGACTAATAACAGATTTCTAAGTTGCTATGGTAAGTTAGTTTGAATATACTGAAATAAAATATGTTGAAAATAAGTTTGTTTTGTAAGTAGGCCTAATATAACTGTATTTGTCATTATGTTTTAATTCTGTTCAATATCTTTAAGTTGGTCACATAGGCTAAGCCATCAATGCCAATCTTAGTGTTAAAAGGAAGTCTAAGACTGGCGGTGGTAGCCTGGATCGACAGATTTTGTACACTGTCAACCAATTCTATATCAGCACAAGAGTGACATGACACACACGTACCTGTATGTTTTTGCGTTCATTGTCATTTAGCAGATATTGAAATCTACAATAGGATCAACTTGAGGCGCCCTTGTATGCCATCGGCTCAACCATGTTTAAATGTATTCAAGTGAACACTACTGACCCACTTAGTGACAAGAGCCTCCAATGTCCCGCAGTGATAAATTATTTGAAGCTGCAATTTATTTTGCCTCAAATTGATTATAAATGAATAAATTATTATTATTATTATTATAAATTAACATTAATTCTGGGAAACGTCTGTAGGTCATGCTTTTCATGAGTGTCATAGTAAGAATTAAAAATAAAGAAACTTTCACCTAAATCAAAGTTACCATGACCTTATAATCATGCCTTCTAACAACTAGCAATTAATACAGTATATGAATTATGTGCTTTAATGTAACCTCGTGATGCTTGTAACTTCTAAGCCTAAGCCTAATTGTAGGATGAGGACACACCAGTTTCAATGCTGTAATTGAAGTTAGTCTTGTTTTGTGTGACTTACACATGAAAAATAATCTTACCCAACACAATTCTGAATCCACTTTCGTGTTTCATGTGTGCTTAAAATGCCTCGGCTAATATGCTTAAAAAGACAGTTTAAACATTTGCCAATTATCATTTAAGTTGGTATTCAAATATGTTTGTAGTAACTTTTGTTTACATTGTTAAATGACAGCTCCATCACGTTGAATTTGCACTTACCCCCTGCTTTTCATTATGGACCACCTTCATACACAAATCACAACTTAAAAGTTTACAGGCATGTTTTCTTAAACTAAGCTTCATTGCTTCTTTTTAATATTTTAAAACCGATAGCTTTTGGGTCACAGATTTTGAGTCTTTTAGTTTACATACAAACCAAAAAAAAAAAATTACCTATCCCCCAGGTCTGAATTAACCGGCTGAAAACTCCTTTTTAAATTTTAAGTAATCTGTTTTCAGTAATAACTATTTCCTGTGTTTGTAGTAAAGTGGGAAATACATGTAATCGTCTTTGGAATTTGGGCAATGCAGTATGCGTAGCCAGATGGTCTGTGGTATGTGAAAATTACAAAATAGGGGACATTTATATAGATGATTAATTTCAGACCCAGCAAGATGGCCAAAGTTTGATGCAATACTTACAGCTTTACTCACTGGTTTAGAATCCAACACAATGATAGTAGTGTCAGTATACACTGAAATACGTAAATTGGATGTTTCCATCCATGTAATTTCATTTAAACTTATGTCTTGGTTGCTTTTTATCCTATCAGCTAGTGCGCTGGGAACAAGTTAAATTATGAGGTCCGAGGGAGGACATCCTTACCTAAGGCCTCATATGAAAGTGAAAAGACCAGGAATGTTGTTAATAACAGTTCTCTGTAGATTTCAGTACATTCTTCCATTGAATAAAACCATCTCCAAAGTTGAACTTTCAAAGTGTTGCTAACAAAGAATTTCATTTGATTGTGTCAACTTTTTTGGTAGTATCCATAAAGAGGATAGCAGCATTTTTTTGGTTGTATTGTGAATACAGTAGATAACAAAGATTAATATTATGTTGTCTCCAATAAATGTTTCCTTTGATGTATCCAGATAAGATTGTATACTCCTGTATTACCGGGCCTAACAGACTGATGAATTAGTAGGGTTTTTGCAACTATTAAAATAATCAGTGTTGAGTAGACTGATCGGTCATTAGTTTTTCAAATATGCATTTTTAGCAGCAATATAATTGCACTTTTCTGTGGGATAGACAACTGTCCTTTGTTTTAACTTTTATTCATGGACTCTGCATAAACTTTTTCAAGGTGGTTCCAAAAGTTTTCGAAAACTCAACTGTAAAAGCATCTATACCTAGACTTTGGTTGGGTTTTAAACTACCCAAAGCTTTTTCTTATTCTGCTTTTGTGATTATTTCCCTACATTTCCCCTATTGCTCATAGTGCAGTATGTGCTCAAACTTTATATATTCCAGGTGCTCTACCCAGCTTATGTCAGCAGAATTAGAAAAATACAAACTTGTGTTAACAAAAAAATCGTGTTCCATATTTGCCTTTTGTCTTTCCTAATAGTCATTTCATGGTGTTTCCTGCATTTTGTTTTTCTTAACCTAGAATACCATGCTACATTTTTCACCATCCTTTTCCCTTTTTTTAAATTTAACCTTCAGTCCCTGATTTTATGTGACGTGTTATGTAGTTTGGACATTTCAATTTGTTTGTTACACTGATAACTTAAGTTATTCAATCTTTCAAGAACTAATTGTTTGACTTTGATTTCCAGTTTTGGTTTTGTTTTGAGTATAACAAAATCCCTAATTTCCATTTTGCAAAACTCTGAACAAAGTCATTCAGCCCTGTTTACTCTTTTTAGCCTTAGTGATAACTTTCCCAAATGGGATTCATGACATTGATTAACGTCTTTTCATTTGTGAAGGAATTATTAAATGTCCAATATCCTGGTCTTAGTATTTGTTACACAAAGAGACTGCTAGATGATCTGTCTTAAGTACTGGTTGAATATTGGCTGAGACAATGATAACAGCCAGTTGACCTAAAATAAGTAAACTATTCTCTTTTTGTATCCAGAGACCATTTTAGAGCATAACTAGTCCTAAACAAGATGGGATTGTCAGCTAGGGTTGCATTAAAACAAACTCACCCTGAAGTGCAAGTGCACACCAAAACCTGTTTATGTCCAATCCTCAACCTAATCAATACTTGTACTTTCCAAAAGTGAACCATGTCTCTTTGTAGTCAAGTGGAGTAGTAACTCAACTGGCTAACGCCAGCTTAAATGTAAGCTTACCCTTAAAAAAATCTACAAAAATAATACTGAAGGGTACCTTATGTTTACATTACAATTCATGTCGCTGTCTCATGAGCCATTGAAAACTTTGTATAATGTCTAAAGATTCTGAACGTCAATGGCCTAAAATGAATATGAATAATTTAAACAAGAAGAAATGATGTCAATTTAATTACTTTTACTACCGGTACTATTAAATTCAAATAAATTATATATTTTTTATTCTCTCATATGTTACAGGATCCTTATGGTGAAAGAAGAGGAAAGTTCCAGTATAACACTTTAAAATTGAGTTTGGAGAAGATTAAACAACGATTGGAAGCAGAAGAGGCTATAAACAAAGCATCGGATGCAGACTCCAGTGGTACTTCTGACAATGAGATGGACACATCAACACCTTGTTCTGTCAGATGAAGTATCTTAATCATTTATCTCTGTTGGGAAGTGTTACCTAAATTGTCTGTGATGAATGGAGTAACCGGCTTAGAAGACATGCTGGAACCAGTTTATTCTCATGACTGTTGCATGAATACCAGTACATATTCTTACCATATTAGACTGTCTTTTCAATTTCTATTGTAGCAGGGGAAAAAATGGACTGTTCTGATACAGAAGTACCAGTCCTAACTCGGCCAGGATGGACCAACTGAAGTGGGGAGTGGAAAGAGTTGGCCCCACTTTGAATTACCTAGAGAAGCAGATATGTATTAATTAACCCCATACAACTTCAACAGAAACAGTATATGATAATATATGACTTCTGCTAATGCACACATACATGTACTTGGCTTTCTGCATATACTTTGAAAGAGTCATCTATGTTGCATCCTATGGAATAACTGGGGTGAAATTTATGGGCTGTGAGCACCTGGGATGCAAGTATTGTATCGTGGGGTTGCTAAAAGCAAATAAACTGTGGTTTGTATACAGTTGTTCAAGATTTTAAATCAGGGGTAGGGGAGGGCGGAGGGATGGACATTTGCATGGAAACTTGTCTCTGCCCTTCTCCACCGTCGGCCATAGCCCTGAAAATAGTGTCGATCACTATGTTCATGTCAACTCCCTTGTTTAAAAACATGACTTGTAGGTGATCAAGCATCCCACCAAACAACATCAGCCAAGCATCACTGTTTCTGAATGGTAAAATCAAATCAAATCCCTGATCATAACCGATTTAGAAGTTTACAGTACCAACTTTAGAAATACAAATTTAAAAATAGCATAGTTGTATGCAGTGTCAAAAGTGGACAACCCATTTTCTCATGTTCTGCTTGTAGATTTTGGACTTTGCGTAAAGCATTTTCAAAAAACGCAATTTTCCACTTGGAGAAATTTGGATTTTACTCTAACAACTCTCGTGGCACATCAAAAGTCGACAGCTAAAAACTTCAAAATCCCACTGGTAAAAGTATTGTCATGCTCGAAAAGTGGACAACCCATTTTCTTATTTTCTGATGGTAGGAATTTGCGTAAAGCAATTTCAAGAACTCGCTTTTCTGCCAGCAAAAAATTAGATTTTACTTCAAGAAGTCTTCGTAACGCGTCAAAAGTAGACAGCTAAAAAGTTCTAACTTCTGCTAGCAAATTTATTCGATGCTCCTAAAGAGAAAGACTTGAATGATAAGTAGTAAATTAAATCTTTGATGTCATATCAGTGACCGACTGGTGTACTGGCTGAAAGATTTATTTTTGTCGTGGATATTCTTTTTGTGATTGGAATTATTGGCTGAATATGTGTTTTGGAATTTGTGGGGTGTTGAAATTAATTCAGCAAGTTCAAGTTGCATTTTAATGTTTACCGTATTTACTTTCTTTATTTTCCCCTTTTTGAAACCTGTGGTTCACTTGATTAAACAGCACTTAGCTTCTCTTAACACAACTTTTTTCAATTCAGACCTTTTTTCGTTCAACGTTTCAGTTTTTAACTTGTCCACTTCAGGACCACCCGCTGTCGTCAATAAGTAAAACTCAAATTTCTGCTAGCAGAAAATTGGGTTTTATGAAAAGGGATGGTGTAACTTCAAAAACCCTAAAATCTACCAGCAGAAAATAAGAAAAGGGGTTTGTCCTCTTTGGGAGCATCAAATGAAATTTGCTAGTGGAAGTTTAAAGTTTTAGTTCTTCACTTTTGACACGCTACAAAGACCTCTTTAAATTTCCAATTGAGTTTTGGAAAATGCTTAACGCAAATTCCCCAAACCCAAAAATCTACTAGCAAAACATGAGAAAATGGGGTTGTCCACTTTTGGAGCATGACAGCATTTTTGACAGTGGGAATTTGAAGTTTTTAGTTGTCCACTTTTGATGCTCCATACTGTGACACTATTTTAGCAACAGCTTAAAAAATGCAAATGATTTACCGAACTTGTTTGCGGGCACTTAAAACATCTGTGAACAGTAGCAAATCAGATACATGACAATTCCCAAATGCCAATTTTTAAAAAAATTCAGTAGATATAGTCTTGTGATTGGTCGGATCCTTCCAACACTGAAACAATGCTTGCAATAACATGGTATCCCAAACTAGCTTGACTTTAAGAAAAACAACAAATTACAGTTAGCGCTATTTTTGCAGGTGTTGCTTTGCCTTTCCCACGAAACCCACTGGTGGAGTTGCATCCCGTTAAACAATGCAGCCCAATCAGCATTTCTGTTCTGTCAAGACCCTTGCTCACTTGAGAGATGTTTATGGTGCGTAATTTTTCCCCCTGCCTGTCTGCAACAGCAACGGTGACCCCATGGATCTGCTGAGGTGTCGGTGTCAGGGCTTTTGATGAAGATGTGATGTATATCATTACTAGAAGAGATCCTTGAGATGTACGAACAGTGGAGAAGTAAGCGAGTATCAGCTAAATCCCTGTGTTTAAAAAAAGATTTGGTAGCATTGGATATTATTACATTATTAGGGCCGACACAGGACGGACTTCAATAATAAAGGCCTATCATTATCAAGGCAAAAAAAATTAGGAAAGAGTTCCATATACGAAGTTCACTTGACATCCTATTTACAAACAAATTATGTTTTCACAAAAAAAATAACGTTTTCATTGAAAATCTTTTTCTGACCTGTAATTGATTTCTATGGATTGATTAATAAAGAGGAAACTGAATGGATTTTGTAGGCTTATATGGAACTTTTTCCAAATTTTAAAAGGCATTCACTTGGAACCGTGCAAAATGTATAATTTACGTTGTGGTTGTACTGTAGCCTACCCTGCATAAGAATACAAGTTGCAGCCAGAGTGGTCATGATCATGGTGGTCAATGATATGGAATTCCATATCTACCGTCACCCGTCGTCTTTTGCTTTTTGTTGTGTCCCAATTCTGCCATTTACCAGTTCCAAACATGCCATTTTCCGTCTACCATTGTCCGTCATGCGTCGCCCGTCGTGCGTTGTCCATCAAATGGGTTGCATCGCACCTGAAAAAGCCGGGGTTTAACAAATGACAATGTGATGATTCCATTCACTTCTAAGGACCTTTTCCTAATGGGCGAGATTTGAACCCGATCGGACATGTACTTCAGGAGATATAGGGCCTTAAAGAGTGCACCTTTAATGTCACACGACTTGTCTCCTGATGATGTTATCAATAGGTAAGGTCAATATTCCTCAGGAGCACTCCCTTTTCAAGATATTTGCAAGATTTGAACACAATTGGATATGCACTTCAGGCGATATACTACTTTAAATGAGGCACCTTTAATGTCACGTGACTCGTCTCCTGATGGTTATTGTCATCACGTGAGGTCAATTTTCGTTTGTGAACCTTCCCTTCCTATCTATCTGCAAGATTTCAACCCAATAAGACATGTACAATACGATATATAATACAAAACATTATAGTTACTGTGGAAAAGGCAAGAGATAAGATATCTTAAACATTTGTCCCTTATTTGGCGTTCCATACAAAGCGATCTGCTATCGGCAGCTTGTGGTCGGCATTTTGCCAAGTCCCGAGTATATGCCCTACGCACTGTGCGCCGTCCATGTTGCAGGTATATTGGGCGTCTACACACAGTAACATATGCACAACATGCTTATGCGATTTTCGAATTGGCTATTTATATTTTATGGGGTTTTTGTCGGCGGCGCTTCACGTCTGTGAAAAACTTCATCGGTTATGCACTTCATGCAGCTTACTTCAATGTTTTAGCTGTCATGTCAGGCACCATTCACGCGTATATCTCTTACGATTGATTTTTTACCGAATTTTGACAAAAGCGAAGTTTTTATTGTAACTTCCGGTCGGATGACCAGCCCCAAACTCCACACACGTGTTGACTGGGTAAAGATGGTCACCTACATCAATTTTCAGGCGATTTGGACATCGTCGGCACAGACATCTATTCAAAATTCATTTTTCGGAATTCTTAACCTGTCGCTAGAGAGCGCTCGACAATTAGTTGTCGGCATCAGTAGATGATTTGAAGAATACTATATCCCAACAGACTAACACCGTTGAAAACAACTTGATACCTATTACCACTTTTAAACAATAAGGCCACTTCTGGTTTCGACCGGAAGGATGGGCCACATGATTTGACCTACACGAGAATATTTGAATATTCAAAATTTAATAATAAATCACTTGATGACGTAATCACGACGTAAATATTTCAGGATTATCTTTGTTTTATAGTAAGTGCTTGCTGTAAGTTTGACGACGATCAACGATTTCTAAGGTACGAAAATAGTGCCTCGAAAACGTGTACAAAGTCAAGGGGCTAAAATAAATATTGAAAAATCAATAATAAATCATTTGATAACGTCATCATGACATCTTTCTAGGACCATCTATGCATAAGGGTCCTTTGGTACATTGGTACAAGTTTGATGATGATACAAAGTTGCAAAAGCACAAACGGGCTTTTAAGCAGAAGAAGAAAAAGGAAAAACTAGAGGAATTGCGTCCGTCTCAAGGACAGAACACGAGGCTTTTTCGCGTTTTTGTGGTTGTCAAGAAAAGTGCTTTGTTTGCATAGCACAAAATGTTTGAGAATGTTCAAATTCATACACTTACATATATAATTTTAATCAAAACGATGCGCTTTAAGGTATCAGTTTTAATGTCACATGACTTGTCCCATGATGACGTCATCATCACGAGAGGGCAATATGTGCGTGTCAATATTCCTCTAAAGCACTCCCTTTTCAAGATATCTGCAAGATTTCAAGCCAATTGAACATCTACTTCAGGAGATCTAGGGCATTAAAGACTGCGCCGTTAATGTCACGTGACTTGTCTGCTGATGAAGTATTCATCACATGAGGTCAATATTCCTCTGCAGCACCCCCTTTTCAACATTTCTGCAAGATGTGAACCCCATCGGAGATGTCATTTAGGAGATATAGGGCCTTAAAGACTGCACCTTTAATGTTGTGTGACTTAATTGTCAAATGACGTTATTATCACATTAGGTAAATTTTCGTTTATAACACGTCCCTTTGTAGCTATGTTGATGATTGACACAATTAATAGACAATGGTGAGTTTTATCAAGTGAAGGAAGGGTCACTACACTCTTGATAATGCTCATACAAATTGAGCTGACAACAGACTTCACAAACTTTATACAAGAATTTAACTTGTACGTGAGACAAAAAAATCAACATGTCTGCAATATCTGTTTGGAATAAGATTGGGATTTCAGATACAATTACGTTTTCCTTGCTTACTTTAATGAATAACGGGCAACGAATGATTTAGTGAATAGTTGTTTCAAATTCGAATGCTTCACTCAATCTACTCGGTACTTTTGTGAATCACGACTGTCAAAAATAAGGACGAACGTAAGGACATTATCAGTCAGGTAATACAAAACGTGGAAATGCATCAAGTGAGGGCGCACTTCAGTTTTTCTTGTGAGGGATTTGATTGCCGGAACGAGGATGTGCTACAGTACGGATTGGCAAAAGTGGCCCTATAAAAATCATCGTAACACTAGAGGATTTGGGACTGTTAGGGCCGTCGAAATACACAAACTAAGAAACGTCGATTTCAAAGACGGGAAGAAAAATAATGCAAACATCAATTTCACACAATTCTTTAAAAAAATCTTATTCCTATTCAAAGTAACTGCACAAATGATCACTTTTAACAGGTATCAGCGAGTGCACAGCCGCATAAACTCTGATCGTGGAATTTATGCATATAAAGAACTACACCGAAAATATTAAACGAAACTGGTCCTGAAGCTGAAGGGTTATGAGAGTTAAAGAATGTTAAAAGTGTCCTTACTATTTATAAAAGAAAAGAAATCTGCATTTGTACTTCGGGCCATTTCACTATCGGTGAAGTTTTTATGCCGTACATACTTAGAAAGACTTGAGAAAACCTGTAAAATATCAGGAACTTGTGACTGCTGAAAACTTTGCATACTGCTTGCAAAATCTACATGTTCTCAAGAACAGAAATCCTGAAAAATTATGTCAGGGACATGTACACGTGCATCTATATATCTCATGTCCTATTGGTTGCATTTTGTTTAGATATGATATTTTAATGAAGTCCTGTAGAACAGTCTTGGTATGAATTGCATTTCCAACAATCACACCAACATGTCCAAAGAAGACCTTCGTGTATGAATGCTGGTAAACATTCCTCTGTGTCATCTAAAAAAGGGAAATTTTAATTCATCTCGTGTCAGTTATATGTTTATGAATGAAAAAAAGAACTTTCAGCACCTTTGATATCACCTG